GTTAAAAAATGACTATTCAAACGTAAAAACAACGTCAAATAATAATTACATTTCAGGTTGGCACAAAACACGAAGAGTTGGAGAAGGTGGTGCGGCTTTTACCATTTATTCAACACAAAGGTGACAAGGTGACAATGTCGGAGCCGCTGGATCCGGCGATGCTGCTGCCACAGCGCAAAGCCTACTGGACCTACCCTGGCTCCCTCACCACTCCGCCCTGCACCGAGTCTGTTACGTGGATACTCTTCAAGGAACCGATACAAGTTTCTGCTGAACAGGTTAATGAATACCTTATTAAATTAGTAATAAACTAATTAATAATAAATTACGATGCAATGTCCTCCGGACCGAATTTCGGCCACAGCGGCAATCTCAACGGAGATCAGCGTTCTGCACAGGATATGATTATAGTTCACGAGTGTGTTCACAAGCCCAGGTGCATTCTCTATTCTGCGAACCTCATAGTTCGGCGGGACAGCAATCCAACAAAACTGGCGAAAGATCAGGCGCAAGACCAACAGCTTTTCGTGCTTTTCGATCCACAGGGGTGAAACAAAGCCAACTTTCTGACTTCAAAGTAATACTAATGAGAATTTCTAGACAAAAAAATGTAATAACTGACTGTAGCCCGACCCGGTATTAAACCCGGGATCAATCAGCAGTCGTGCTTACGATCGCTAAACCAATGAGAGTTAATAAAGAATATGGCTATAACGCATGCAACGCAATGTGAGTTTTTGATGTTGGAGTAACAATGTAATAAAAACTTTTAAAATGATTAGAATCTAAAATAAATACACATGTATAATAAAATATACTACATATGTTGAAGAATTTTAAATAAATAAATTTCAGTAAATTATTTTTCAATTTTAAATCTTATTGAGAGTGCAGACAAGACAAACGGGAATTGAATGTCGAATTGGATGTTTTCATGCCAGTTTCCGAGGCAATCAATAATGTTTGCTTCAGGTTTTCCAAGACCGGCACGCTATGGCAACGCCTACGGCTGTAGTCAAGTTACTCTACACCTACAGTTTTGCGTAGAAAAGAGAACCTATCCTATAGTTGTAGAAGGATGATGAATACTGTGTTAAACACAGAAATCTAAATAATTTATTATCTATAATGTAAATAATTTATTATTTATATTTCTGTGGTGTTAAACTTTCTTTAAAAGTAATAGCTAGTAATTGTTCATTCCTCACTACCATTAGCTTTAGAATATTTTTGTTATTAACGTATAATATTTTTAACTTGCTGTTCCCCGCGGCTTCGTTTGCGTGTAATTTATTACGACTGAATTTTATGGATTTAAATTTTTTTTTGCACGGAACCCTAATACTTTGTCTAAAATAAAAATAGCCTAAGTTACTCATTATAACAACAGCTATCTGCCAGTGGAAGTGCCGTCAAAATCAGTCTATCCATTTTGGAGCTTAGCCGAAAGAAAGAGACAGACATATTTGTGATTTTGTTACAAGTACCTACCGTATATACTTCTATATGCACTTAGTATAAAACTTATTTTGACATTACAGACACTTCAATTTTATTTATTTGTATATATTTGTTAAGCTCGGTCCCTTTCGTACGTTGACGTTGACGTTGCTGTACGTACTTGTCGACAAAGACCTATTAGAGATCTAGATATATATTAGTTTCATGAAATAGGTATATGCTACTCTACCAAGGGCACCAACATAGGCAACGCCCTATTAGAAAGCCAATAATCATACGTTCTTATTCATCATCATTATCATTTATTAGAGTTTAAAATGAACTCTCGATATTGTAATAGTGACTAAATACATTATATTTTAAACGATTCTAAGAGTTTACAATATGATTGCAGCTGGCGTTGATGAGAAAACTACGGTGCGGCGAGGCTTCATGTGGCGTGGAGGCCATGGAGCTGCTGCACAACTACCGGCCCACGCTTCCGCTCGGGAACCGCGAACTGCGCGATTACGGCGGGAACTAACCACCGACAGAACATTGCGACATCCACACAAACACGCGACACACTCGTGCCTCCGGTAGACGACCTGCATGAATTTCACCTTCATATGGAGAGAATGTACTGCAACAAAAAGGAAGCAACGTGCTCTCACTTCGGTGAAAATTAACAAAATAATAACTACTGTAATATATATTTTTTTTAATAAAGTCCAAACGGAATCCATGGTCAAATGAGATCTCAATGTTTTAAGATTTGATACAAAATACATAAAGCAATCCCAATGTTTTATGAGCAAGAATAACTAAGGTGAAAACTGTGAGGTTTCAGATTATAGGATAACGAAAAGCATTACTATTTAATATTGCCCGAATTATTTTCTAAATACGATCTCAATGATTGATTGAGATATAAGATTATTTATGTATTTTAGAATTATGATTAATGTGTTTTTGAAAAAAACCTTAATAACATTATATATTATACTTAGGAACATCGTAATATGTAAGTCTTCTAAAGTAATCAAGTGCCTTAGGCTATATTAAAATACGTACTCAAGTATGGTAAAACCAAGTTATTTTTAGATATGAACTCGTGCGAATCTCTTTTAGTCGTAAGTGCGAGTAATAGTTTTATGTTTAATATTTATATACTTTTATGTACATATGTTTTACATTGATTACTGATACACATGCAAGTAATATTGTTGTTTATAAAAGTGTCAAGTGTAAAGTGAAAGTATTACGTGTCGGAAACATTTTGAAAAACAAAATCGTGTGCAACTCGGTCCACTTTTTGATCAAGTAGGCGAATTTTTCAAAATGACTCCGACTTATATAATACATACACATATAGTTCGCAGCCCGATGGTTTAGACAGCCGGTCAATTAGATGGCTAGGATTAGTTAAACGCGGTCATTCGTCCAAATTACATATAACGTTAAAACTTTTATGTAACTTTCATTAATTAGACGATTTAGCAGAGCTACATAAAGCTGCAGCACGTATGAACCGGCACGACCGAGATAGAACCACGCTTTTACAGAATACCAGCGTGAAACGCCAGAATAGTGTTGCTGTGTTGATGAGTGTAAAGAACCGGAGACCCTTTTTACTGATTTGGCATTCCATCTTAGTCTTCAGGGGTGACAACGCGTAATCATTTTGATTTTTAATCTATGTTAGATGTATATGTCTATGAGGCACAACATTCACTTACTATCAAGTGGACTGTGTGCTTTTAGTCACCCCTATTGTATGATAAACGTTACGTTTCGGTACGGGTGAACTATGCAGCGCTAATATTTTTTATTTATTCCCCTACTTGTCACTCGCAAAATAATTTCGTTTAACCGTGTGGTGAAAAATTGGTCAGCTCTTTTGGTAAATTTTAAACGATTTGACTAAGCTATCTTTAGGCGTTAAATGTAACGCACGAACATTAACTTAACTCGTAGCTAGTCGTTCAATTAACCGACTGATTAAACCACTAATTTACTTTTGATTAACACGAGTTGCCCGCATATGTAAATTAAGGTATATATTTAAATTTAAGAATTAAGAATGAATAGTCAATATTGCAAATAAAATACATATTCAATATAATGAACTTTGCCTCCAACTGTAGGTAAACGTAACAGTTATGTTAACTGTCCCGTTCTATGTAAGGATAAAGTAATAAAGTTATTATTAAAATTGACATTATATCATCGTTAACAAACTGTTTTATTTACGATGCACTTTTCACAACAAAAAAAAACACAGAAATATTTTTCTAAAAATTTTATCTCGACTTCCTAAAACATTACTATGTATCTTTTTACGAACCTGCACCAAATGGAGGGTAATGTTTATGGTATGTATTCCGCATGTGACTCGATTTCTACGGCACGCTTTGTAGTCCAAAAGGCTGGATGGATTAAACAAATTACCTACTTATAAGATGTCGTTAGAGATTCATCTAAATTGTGAAAGTGACATAAGGTATAACTTTCGGTATTTTGGAACGCCGGAACTGCACCGAAAGAGGAACCTATATTAGAACCTAAATTAGAACTAGTTTTATTTCTGAACTAATGAGTGTTCATTCCCAGAATACAAAGAAATTGAGTTCTTATTTAAATAGCGACATTATCTCGTTTGAACACTTAGGATAGTCATTAGATACCAGGACTAAGCCACGCAATCATTATAAAATGAAATTCTAATTCCAACAGTGATGACGGCTCCGTGGTGCAGTGGCTTAGCACTGAGGTGCGGCGCTGGGGGCCGTGGGTTCGAATCCCACACCGTACAAGGATTTGCATAACCTACAAATAATTGTTCCGTGTTTGAATGTTTATCCTTGTGCAATTTATGTTAATAAACTGCCTTCACGATACAATAGAAAATTGATTTTTAGTCTTTTAATATAAATCTTTAGATTTATACATAATACTTTCTAAACGATACGAATACTTTTTCTCAGGTATCGAATGATTTCATTACAAATCGTTTAAGCATGAGAAAAGGTTATTCCGTGAATATGAAGGTCCAAGGAGGTACAAATTCAACAACGCTAAGGTAAATATCAATTGAGAAACGAAGTCGCACACCGATCTTTCGGCTATCAACTATTTAGCAGCTATTTCGGTTCATTGGCTTTTGTGTGGTTACTGATTGTGCAGTAAAGGTGTATGAATTAAGCAATATAAATTAGAGATTATTGATTTTTCCGTGAAATCAAGACACATCTTTTTATCAAAACTTAAGCAACACAAGCAGTGCATGTTGCCCGTCATGACATATGTATTATGAATCTGAGACATGATCCTTCATTGATGGCTGTATACAGCGGGCTACGCTGCGATATTTCACTGTTTCATACAGTGCAATGAGAATAAGCGCAGTAGAATCTGAACTAAAGTAAAGTGGTAATGGGTTGGGACCTTACGGCTCGAAAACCGACAGCCTCATACCGATTAGCGAAGTGTAGGGCGTCCTTCGCCCCTACCCTACTTGATGGTGTGACAACTTTTTGTTTTATAATATCGCGTATTTATTACGAAGAAAATGTGCACGTAGATCTACGTTCCGACACGGGGTTTGTGAGCGCAGATCCATGTACCTACATTTGACGGAATAATAAAATTTTAACTAATGTGTGTTATCATAATATCGCCAAAATTGTCCTACTCATAAAAATACTTGACATTATGCACAAATTAAGTTTGTCTGTGTGCCTTTATTTTTTTTAAATCGGAAACAACTGCCGCATTGGTAGTGAACTTTAAGTTTGATCGGGAAAGGAATCGGAACCATACAAACGCAACTCATTACTAAGAACTGGGCTTGGAACTAGGTAGGTAATATCTATTTATATCGGTATTTTCTTACAATATTATCGATATTTATCGTCAATATTTTTAATCGCTATATATCATATTTATTTTAGAGTATCGAATTCGTACCAATTTCGATATATTTTCGTCAAAACGTCCAGCAAAAAATTTTTGTTCATCATCCCTCTAGCGAACAATAGCAATACTATTTCGAATATTTATTAGGAAACATTTTAGCTATTCCCCATGAGGCAACGCTACTAAATATAAGGTAAAAATCCGTTTTAGGCACGCCGTCAAACACTAACACATTGGTAAATAAATATTGACGTTACTAGATAACACATTGCGCTTATTATAAAAATAATAAATAGTCTAAAACAAACTACTAGAAATAATAAAATTTGAAAATTATTTGGTAAATATACATTATTCTTACGATATTAAACCAAAATCACATTAATTTTTTGCTCCATATCGTGACTTACAATACCTTAATGCACAACCGTGCATATTTTCTTTAAAAATATTTTTTAAATTTATGAAACGTATGCGTCTTGACCTTTAGACGATGTCACTAAGACCGAAGACAAAAATCGGAAATATATCCTATAGGACAAAAGTTACAGACGACAATTTTGTTGCTGATGTTCGGTCTATTACTACTACTTAAATGTCTTTGGCTAAATCCTTAATCTATTAACCTAATTTCAATTTTTCTATGCTTATTTATATCAATCATAGCAGTACCAAGTGGTCCCGTGGTCCAGTAGACATTAAATTTGGTCCCCGCTAAAGGCTAAAGGCACTGCCCAAATTTTGACTTAATCAAAGGTTTTCTCATGGTCCCCATGTGCCAGACGTTACGGCAGATTACACTCTTTAGTCTTCGTCGTTCCTATAACCTACCGAAGGGTACGTATGTATGTAGTCTAGAGTACTTACTGAATCGGAAACCGGCTTGTTCGGAAGGCTGGAAGTCGTCGAGTATGTATGCGAGACGATTCGTAATGACTATGGAAAACAGCACGTAGAAAGCGGCTTAAGAGCGTAGTCGGTCTGCGCGGGAATTGAGAAATAGGTATTAAAAGAGACTATTGCCGTCGGGCTGCGCCCGTGCAACCGAGGTATCGTCTGTATTTGTGTATTTGTGTGCGTAGCTCAGTACTAACTTCGACATTTGTCACTTCCCTAATTGTGTACGTATAAGTCTAGACCTCCCTCGCCGATGGTCTCTCACCGTAGAGTGCGATAGGGACAACTGCAGCTCAGAACGATTTTACCTACAAAAACCATGACCGATCGACATTTCGTGTTGCCCTGTTTTCTCCTCGAAAACTAAGCCGATAAAATTATTTTTGGTATCAAAATTTAAAGATTATTATTATTATTATTGGGGTATCTGTATAGTTTTCTCATCTGGTTGGTTTCTATAAATATATAATTATAAATTAAAATGAAAAGATAAATATACATAAATATCAATAAAATAAAATAAATACAAAAAATACACAAATAAATAAAGATCCAACCAGATGGAAGCCCTCGGCAGGGGAGACCAAACGGCCGAGGGTTAGGGGGAAAGGGAAAGAAACCGACGGACGATGCGGGCGGTATCGAGGACCACTGCCTTCTGCATTTGAGCCCGGAGCGGTCCGTCACGGAGTCCCAGTTGCCTCAGATGACCCGAGAGGCTGACTGGGATTAGCCCGTTTGCAGAGACGACTACAGGAATAATTTCGGTCGGCAGACCACCCCACATGTCGGTCACCTCGTGAGCCAGGTCCAGATATTATGTTTGCTTATCTGTTTCGGCTTTCACGAGGTTCTCGTCATACGGAATGGTAATGTCGACCAAAAATATCCTTGACTGTGCCCGGTCCATCAGCACAATATCAGGCTTATTTGCAAGAATAGTCCTGTCTGTGATGATGGCCCGATCCCAGTAGAGCCTGGCGCGGTCATTTTCGAGCACGGCTTCCGGCAAGTACTTGTAATACGGCAATTTCCGGTCCACGAGACCGTATTTCAGAGCGAGCGCCTGGTGTAGAATTCTGGCTACTAGGTTGTGCCTGTGCAAGTACTCAGAGTTAGAAAGCGCCGAACAACCGGAGATGACATGTCTAAGTGACTCCCCGGGATGGCGACAAGCTCGACAGACGTCGACGGTGCCATCCTTTAGGATGTATCTCCGATAGTTGTTGGTCTTAATAACCTGATCCTGTATTGCACAGACAAAACCCTCGGTTTCCCCCGAAGAGGTCACCGAAACGCAGCCAGTTGAGGGAGGCGACTGTATCTACGAAGGGCTCATGTAGAACCCTGTAGTACCTCCCGTGGAGCTCCTTCTCCTTCCATACGGTCTCCCGGTCGGAAATGCTAAGCACTGCTGGGTCCTGCCATTGCTCATTGGCCAAGGATAGAGGGGTAAGACCTTTATCACTAGAAATGACGTCATTATAGAATGGATCATCCGATCTCGCCAGGAAGTAATGACGGAGGCTGCACACTTCACGATTATGCATAGTGAGCGCGCTTAGAAAGCCACGCCCACCATGCTTTCGCGGCAAGTACAGCCTCATTACCGACGATCTCGGATGATGCATCCTATGGGACGTCATGGTAGTGCGGACTTTTCTATCCAGGGCGTTAAGTTCAGTCTGAGTCCACCTGAGTATGCCAAAGGTATACATAAGGACAGGCATGACCCAACCGTTATATGCGTGTGTCTTATTCACACCGGACAAAAGGCTATTAAGCACTTTGGTCAAGCGTGCATAAAACACGTCGCAAACTGACTGTTTCACACCAGCCTCATCGATACCGATGTTCTGTGACATACCCAGGTATCGGTATGTTTCAGCCTCGGAAAGGGTCCTTAAGTTGACGGGCATAGATAAATCTATGCCCTCAGAGTTAGCAACCCTTCCCCTCTCAACATGGAGGACCGCACACTTATCCGTCCCCAGCTCCATTCCAATGGAACTGCTAAACTCACAAGTGATTTTTAGCAATTCCACAAGATGGGAGCGACTGGAGGCGAATAACTTAAGGTCATCCATATAGAAAAGGTGGGTCACTTTTGTCCCTCCTTTCCGTAGCTGAAATCCTCTCCCGGATCCCTCCAGTAAGGTACTGAGAGGGTTCAGGGAGAGGCAGAACCAGATTGGACTCAGACAATCGCCCTGGAAGATACCCCTTCTTATCCTTATGTGGTTCTCCGCAGCCATCATCCGCTCACCCAGATGACAAAGGATCGTACTCCACTGCCCCATACACTGCTCGAGGAAGTCTCTCACTGTACAGTCTATCTTGTACAGCTCGAGGACTCTCTTTAGCCATGTATGGGGCACCGAGTCGAATGCCTTTCTGTAGTCTATCCAGGCGGCGGAGAAGTTCCGACGGTTGCGTTTCACCACTTTGCCAATGACCGCGTCAATGAGGAGTGGTTCCTTAGTTCCACGACCACCGCCCCGACATCCATTTTGAGCGCGTGACATCACCTGATTTAGCTCCAGGTGACGAGTGATTCTCGCGCTCAAAATGGATGTCAGTGTCTTATATATGGTGGGTAGACACGTAATGGGGCGGTATTTGCTCGGGTCTGTGGTAACCTGGTCTTTAGGAACCAAATGAGTGATCCCAGTAGTGTAGAGGCTAGGGAGCGACTTCTGGTTGAGAGCCTCTTGAAACTGACGGGCGAGCACAGCGTGACACACCATGAACCCCTTCAGCCAGTAGTGATGCAGTCCGTCGAGTCCCGGACTTTTCCAGTTCGGGGCTCTACGGACCGCCTCAGCTACGTCATCCGGCGTTATGATGACGGGGTCCATGGGCGTAATACTCGCACACTGACTCGCCACAACTTCCGTCCAAGGGCCCTCGCTGTGGTTTACGGGCTCTGACCACAGGCCACGCCAAAATGCAACAGTGTTAGCCTGATCCGGTCCTGGGCCCGCTCCACATACCTCTGGTCGCTCCAATGATTTGTAGAGCCTCTTCTGATCACTCTGGAAGAGACGATTCTGGTTGAACCGCCTTGACCTCTCGGTAAATCGGCGAATCCGCTTCCCCCAAGCGGCAATCTTTTGCTTCAGGTCGTCTATGCGCTCCGTTAGTTTCTGCGTGATATCCGGCTGGGACAAACTGATATTTGTCCCAGCAAACGCCATTCTAACGGTGCGCACAACCCTCGGTCTATTATTACCCGACCTGAAGCTTATCAGTCTGCCGATAAGGGCCCTTGCCTTTGCGATACGGTCCTCAATTCTTTTTCTCCAGGCTGGGATGGCGCTACTTTGTTTAGTAGCGCGTCCAGCCATGGGAAGTTTGGCGCCAATAATACGGCAAGCTGCCACTGCGGCGCCAAAAAGAACTGAGTCCGTCTCTTCTTTTCTTATTATTATTATTATTATATTATCATTACGGAAGTAAAAACGGGGTATTTTTTTAGGTTTTGTGGAAAGTCATATTTATGTTTTGTAATTTTTTTTTGGAAAAAAATAAATGACTGGAGCTGAATGAACAGAATTACCTTCAAAGACCTAAATTTTTATAAACAAAAACAATTACTCTAGAGGCATTATCCAGGAAGAGAATAGGGGAATACATTTGTATGAAAAAAATGCAGCCCGTCTACGTTCTTAAAAGGGAAATCTGTCTATAATTCTTCTATGGGGTTTTATCACCTTTCTTGAAGAAATAGTATTTCCAAAATAAAACTATTAAGTTTCTGCTTTACGACTCTGGCGTAGCACCACCGTGAATAACAGAATTAAGTAGCTTCTGAACGAAGTACTGTAGTAGAAGGAAGTAAGTAGAAGCTATTTGCCGGTTTTCACCACAGCGATCATACAGACACCACGGAATAGTTTCCGTTTAGTCGTCACAATGAAGTCAAAATGTAGTTTTTCGTATAAATCCAAGTTCATTTTCGTTGGGGCCACTTCTAGAAGTAATTAATCATATAGAGGCCTTTCCTCTTCATAAAGTCAGCCAGTTATTGCCCCCTTGGGTTTCGTTATCCAAAGCTAAAGTTCCCATTTCATTTGCTTAACGCTAAGTTCACGAGTTGCTGAATCAATTAGATTATCGCGGGTTACTATGAGGTGGTCACCATGTTTTGCCTAATCAACAATTAATCTAAAAAGTTCGTGTAGTTGGCGAAGCAGCATAACATGTGAGTGTCGTGAGTGATAAAAATTTATTAGAATTGAACAGCTCCGCTTATTTGAGATAAGCACAATCTATTAGTTTAAAAACTATAAATAAATTAGAAGCGGTTGTTGAGTAAGTTAAAGACCAATAGTGTCAGCGACATGATAGATATTCAGATCAAATTCCGGACTTCAATCTGAAAGAGATTAGAATAGCTTACCAGCATCTTAAAAACGGCAAGGTACATGGTGAGGACAGAATTGCAACAGAACTTTTGCAAGTGACTGGATAATCGGTGCATATTAATGTCCTTCAGAAACTATTCAATTTTTTCCTTCAACTTGGCACTACGTCAAAAGTGTGAACATAAGCAAAAGTGGATAAAAGCAATAAAAAAATCCAAAATATAACACCCTTCTAAAGAACTACAGCTGATTTCTCTTCTAAACTGCAACGTCAGTCATAAATAAATGTTTTTTTCGCAAACCTCATGTCGTCTAGTCTCTAAAACAAGCTGATTTGAACCACCGGCAAGGTTTCCAACGGCTAAGTCATCAGAGAAAGATGGGTTTATGTCACATTTATACAGGAGTAAAATATATAATGGAAGGAAAATATGGTGTTCATAAATTTAATATAACAAATATCGTTTATATCTTCATCCATGGGAAACACTATGTAAAGGTATATATATACCTTTGCTTTATTTTGTAGGTTAATCACCCTTAAAAGTGAATTAAAATTTTAATGATTTTAATATGGGCACTATCATGTAAACAATTTAGATCACACAGTGTTTTAGTGTATTTTCATGAGCAATAGAAATTAACCCACTAGGCAAGTCCACCTTCGACTAAGTAGTCAACCGACGATAAAACTCCCTTGTGAAGTCAAATAACCAATGCGCAACAACTGATGCAACCAGTGGCCAGTGAGTGTTGCCAGCGATGACCTATGGAACCGAGACATGGTTCTCTACTTTGGATGCATGAAAAATCTTAAAGTCGTTCTGCAAACTATGGAGAGGGTTGTTCTCGGTGTTACTTTGTGTAACGGAATCCGTATAGAAGATATCCGCAGCAGAACCAAGTATGACAGACATGGTTCAAGGTATCAGTAAAGAATGCGAAATGGGCCGGCCGTAGCTCGAAGAACCGACAACCTATGGAGAAGAAAGGTTTCCGAATGGCAGCTTCCTGGTAAGCGAAGCGAGGTGACCCCCCACTAAATGGAGGTCAAACGACCAGGAAAAACATGTGGGATGTTGATGTATTTAGGTGGCTCAAGACCGTAGATAGGGGTGGTGTATGTTCAGCTGTTGACTTATAAGCTTATAACTGTTTATAATAGAGAACGAAATACAATTATGGAAAATATTTGTACATCCCCAGAGGCCTAGCAAAATTGATCTTGCCCACACCAAATTTAAGTCTTGCTCCGCCCCTGCCTGTGGACAATAAAACCGACACCTTCTTGTGACCGATCGACCCTCCCAATTTAAAGTTACTGGATTGAAGTATTGTTGTGCGCTTGCTTACGAAATTCAGATAATCTTATACCATCCCAGTGGAACGTGTCTATCTCTTCCTTTAGCGCGCATTACACGTTGCCAGATCAAATTGTCATTGGTGGAAACCAAACCTTCCCCAAAGATTTTTCTACCCCTTGCACCGCCATTTAGATGACAAGAAATAAAACAAACTTTTAGAATTCTTAAATTTTTTTGAAATTTTTCCATACAAATGTAATAAAAATATTTTGTTGAAAATTTACAGCAGACACAACATCCGACAGGTTTTTAACATAAACTGCCGAATGTTACAGATATAAGCATTATATTCTTGAATATGTTTGGAAACATATTTAAATTTATTTATTTTTAAGCCTTACATCAATTATATATAACAAACTTATTTGCAGAACATCGTGGACTATAACTGATAAACATATACATTTTTAAGCTTAGTATCTAAAGAATCATTGTAAAATTATTTCTATTGACTTTGAATCCATATCCTATCCATCCATAGAGCGAAGAAGGATATACCAATTTCTGATACTACCCTCTCGCGCTGTACATCCAATTAACAACTATAATTCGTGCCAAATCTATTGAGAAAAATGGACGATGTACTCAGATATGAGCCGAGTGTCAAAAGGCGTAACTTACAAAATCTCAATTTAGATGTGATAACATATATATTTACATATTGATATTATTCACACTTCTACGTCAGCACAACATATGTTTTGTTTTTTGTTTCTTAAACAATATTGTCTGTGATTCCTATAAACATCGTAAAATCTTACGGTATATCGCGAAAAATGTGTTATATTTTATATTTCAATTTATGGTAAGTAACGAAGCAATTCATTTAATAACAGTTTCATATAAAAAATAATATTTGAAGCAATATAACCACTATATTGAGCTTTTGCAAATTCATCCCTTTAAAATAAACAAAACGCGCGTTACGTCAGTTCGTTCTAATAGAAACGTGACAATGGCAGCCAGAGATTCGTCCCTTTTTTTGGGCCGGCCCGCATGCACCGAATAAAAATAAAGTTCTTATATAATATTGAAAATAAAGTTTTATCTTTTGAATAAGTACGTACGTTATTGGGTGTCGTTATCACTCGAATCTTTATATGTGATAAATTAATGCTTTTTGTTATTAAATGAATAAATTATTTTTGAGTGTGGGCAAATCGCTTAAGGCTGCATCTGTCCAGTAACTACAGCTTGAAACAGCCTAGGTTCGGGGTTAGAACCTAGAGCCGTAAAACCAGTTAAATAAAAAACTATATAATTGAAACGGCCTTTTTCTAGTAGTAAAGAGGCTGATAAGACATATATAACGGATATAACAAGAGTTAGCTATATATATATATATATATATATATATATTTTTTTTTTTTTATATAATAGCCTTCCTGAATTTGCAAACTGACGTGAATATAAGACAGTCCCATCTAATCGGGAAATTCGGGCTAAGAAGCTACATACCGCAGGCTAAGGTGCTACACCATATCATGCTGTGAGTCTTGCAAGAGGTCACAGAGGTTAACAAACCAGGAAATGGGCAGAGGCGTCTTCCCAATAACAACTACAAAATAAAAAACTGCAGTTGCCAACTCGCCTGCCAAATATGGCATGCCAAACATCTTCCTTATGTGTTAATCTTTTGGGATAAATGAATTAATGAAGCTTTTTATGTTTCCAAAAGTTTACAATATTTTTCTTTATTTTTAAATAAACGTTTTAATCGTCGTCGATCGTCGAAGCAAACTGTTTGGTTCGATTGCATGGCCAAACGTCTTTACTACGTGTACTTTTTATACTTACAATGTGAATGTTTTACTTAAAATAATCCTTAGTACTAAGTACCATCAGAAAGCAACGGTTTGCGTCTAACTTATATATCAGTTGCAAACCGTTTTCCTGTCTGGCACGCTGACTATAATCATCACTCGATAACATGACAAAATGTATTTAACAACTACTCACACTGTCTACAATACATAAAATGCGACAGATGCCCTAATTTGTAGGTGGTATGATTAATTTAATTATACGACCTTTAATCGATTCAAGAGGATACTGTCGTACCGATACTATTGTTGCACGCTCGTGACTAACGCGAACCAAAAATGGACATATATTTATATTCATATGTGAGACCTTAACTCTGCATATAATCACAATGTCATTAGAGATATGACTAGTTGATCTTTTGTTTTGTATACAAACTATTTATAGTTATTCGTCAAGACACGCTTAAGCCATAAATATTGTCAAGCATGAGAATAAGGCCTCAGTAGAGAGCTTTCGGCAGGACGGATAGGACACACATGTTCTTCTACTAGGTGTCCTGAGTGACACCCGCGCAAAATGAACGCCGAACACTACAATACACTGCACACGCCGCCGAACGGACTCCGCTTAAGGCCCGCCACAAACTACATATGGATTCCATTTCGGAATGGGAATTCCGAAACGGAACGAACGTGTCGGCCACACACAGACGGCATTAAAGTTCCGTACGGAAAACTACCGTAGGTCAGTAGCGAAGCCTCCATAGAAGCCGAGAAGCTGGGCTTGCCCTATCAAACTGCTCAATCAATAATATCAACTAATAAAATAACTCGTAAACTGTTTCAAGCTATTTCAAATTTCCCGCGCGCTCTTCTGTTCTACACAGGTCATGACCTCGTAGCCTTATTATGTAACGTCAACATTTGGCAGATTGCAACACAATATTAATTAATATTTTCAAAACTTTCGTTTGTTAATGTATTGTATTGTATGTAAACATCTTTTCCTTTCGCTCAAGCAAACCCAACCGCTTTTTTCAAAGCCACCGAAAATATACAATTGCTGATATGTCATACAATCTTACTAGCAGTAGTATGCCTTTTATAATACGGTTAAAAAAACAAAACCATATCTTGGACTTGCCCTAGTTTGGAGTCCTCGCTTCGCCACTGCCGTAAGTGTGTGATGCGTCATTTATTATATATAGACTTGCTGCGTTCGGAATCCCAAATCGGAATTTCGTGTATATGTGGCCGGCCTAAGAGGCTACTGGCCAAATACTCAAACGCTACTTAATTTTAAGATGTTAAGTCTCGTGGTATCATAGTCAGTGGTTTGAATTAACGTGATAGAGACAGCACAAGACTTAACGGCATCTTAAAACTGAGCAACGTTTAAGTATTTGTGCATTAAAATTTAGATTGATATAACTAATGTAATTTAGTAATGTATTTTAAAATAATGACTTGGTTGAACCGACAGAAACCTGAGAAAATATTCTCAATGTTACTTTACAATAATTCTACAAAAAAGTAATATACTTGAAATGATATAAAAGGAATTAGGCAATTACTGTATGATATACTATCACATAATCTCTAATTTGATTTCTTACTAAAGCGTATTTCTTTATAAAGGGCAAGTATATAAATTAATTGGTGGGAACATTAATTAATATAAATAAGATTATTTATCAAAATTTAATAAGATCTTCCGTTATTGTCTCAGATAAATTTTCTTTACTAGTGTTATTTTCTACATTGACTTCATGCTTTTCTGTAGGCTTAGGTGACAACTTCCTTCTAGGCGGTATTGGAATCTCGTCTAAAATACCAGTTACACCCAAGTATTTTCCTTGTTCGGCAAACACCCGCACATCTTGACCTATTTCTGCTCGCCGACTTCCAGGTGAATATTTGGTTCTAACAGGAGGACTTGGTGCGGCGCGAGAGTACGTAGGTCGGTTATCAAAAATTGATAGATCGACAGGATTTAAAGTTGATGCAAATACCGCCGATGTTTTGCTTTTCTCTAATGCGAATCCTTGACTATTACTAACATCTTTTGAATCACTTTCTTTGTCTTGTTCATCAGTATAGAAAACTGCCTGTTTTGAATACTCCGCGTGTAAAAGTTTGTACGCTTGAACATCCGACTTGCTCCGTTCGAGTGTGAAAGCACCATTGGTATGAAGATGGCAGCTAAAAGAACTGGTGTTTACTGAACAAGCTGGAGTAGTTGAAAAAGGCACTGATGGAGCCCACAGACAGGCACCTTCATTTCTTGGAACCAGCAACAAGGGATCCTGAATGGATGAAATCAATTTCAATTCAGTTTTGTATATAACTTAATGAAATAAATACGAGTCCAAGTATATAACTTAATGAAATACACTATATGTAACATAAATATTGCTATTCCTCAAACACTCCAATTAGAATATTGAGTTGTCATAGTAATGCAAAAAAAGTTAAATTTATTAAGGAGAATATAAAGAATGAGTACCACATATAAGCAATATATGGAACCACATATTTGTTATCGTCTTTGCTGATGATATACAAAAAATGAACGAAATCGGCCCAGTAATTAGGTCAAAACGTAGCGTTCTAAAGTTGAGCTAATTTGAATTCTCTGTAGAATTAGGTGGCATTACTTGTGGTTTCATTTATTGCCTGGATACCACATCCTTACTGTATATTGCTAATATAAGAAATTAAGACGTTAGTAATAATAACAATAAAATATAATAGGTAAAAAAATTAGGTTTTAAAATATTAAAACATAAGATAAAAATATGTTTGAAACAAGAAATTAAGAAAACGTACTGCACAAAACATAATCCGGTCGCGTAAATACAAAGGCGGATGCACTCACATCCATAGTCTGTGCTGCATTATTTTGCGGGTGGCTTAAAGCAGTTATAGTCTGTCTAAACCAGAGATCGGAATTGGGTGTGTGAATATACCTTAAGTTTGCGCGGGACTTAAGATAGAGCTGTTACAACTATGAAACACTGAAGTTTACACATCTGCAGGCGTGTGTAAAATTCGGTGTTTCAGAGATACAAAACAAGTAGAACTAAAAAACCAAATTTGAATCGGAAAAGTTCAAAACAAAAATTAATTTAAAACTGTAGTAGCAGTTTGCAAATGTTTATAGTTAGGTGTTTCAAATGTAAAGAACATGTAAAACAAAAAAAAACGAAACTGAACCGGTAAAATTCAAAACCGGTTCAAAGTGGTTGTACAGCTCAATGTTATGTCCCGCTGCAAACTTTAGGTATTTACACACATCCAATTCCGATCTCTGGTCCAAACCCAGCTGCAACACAGCAGTCTGTAGTGAAGTCGCATTTGTAAAAACATATTTAGATTATAGAAATAATACAATGAAAAAAATGAAAATACGGATTTAACACAGACACTGCCAGATGCAATGCAGAAGTTTGTAGTGCAGGGCGGATTAAACATAGACAAACCCATATTTTATTTGAAAAACGCAACAAAAAATGACAATTACGCATTATTCAATAGTAGTACAATATATTTTGAAAACGCAATAAAATGCCAAATGTATAAAATTACAAACTTTTATTTTTCATGTTCTTACCTAAAAGTACATAAGTATTAGAAAAACGCTTTGTGGAAATAATATGGCAGTTAACATTACCTAATGTTTTTATGTTTTTTTAGCATTAGGACGATTAAGTTTTATACTTTCGCCAATATTGCGGTTTCTTTCCTCCTCTTCCTCTTTCTTTCCTTTCTTCTTTACTTCGGAGATGGTAGGTCGTCCACTTTATATTCTCGACGAAGACTTAGTAATGACTATCTTTACGACGAGCAACAGACGTCGGTTGGACTTTGATCCGTTTCGTCCTCTTGCTTTGAATTTTTGTGACTGCAAATGCTCTTGTTTGAGCAGGTGATTTGATTGTGTCCAAAACTTTTTCCAAAATCTCTATAATTAATAAATTATTTGATGTGATTTCTGAAGCTAATATGTTGGTCATACGAATGAATTTCTTTAACCGTTCAACGTGAGTTTGGATGCACCTATTCAATTAGTCTTTTTGAAAATCCATTGGTATTATTATGGGATTGTCTTCCTTAAGGAAAACAGAAGTTGGACTCGGTGGGATATTTACAGTAACGTTTTCACATTGATGGTGGTGAGACCGAGACTGCTGCTGTATTGTCTGCAAAAACTCGGTAGGTATGTCATCACCAAGAGCCAGTTTTGCATATTCAAGCCTGTCTTTTTGAGTTATTCGTGGTGATCTTTTTAGTACAATGTTCAATTTTAGTTTTAAATAACACAAATATTTGCAAAACTTGCCACTGACGCCTTCTGGTCAAGTACATACCGTAATATCTGTCATTATTGTGCATGTACTCTCTGCTTCAACCTTGTAAGCATTTTCCGAAATTTGTTGAAAATCATCAATATCGTCTGTCTTTTTTATTAATCTGGCATAAATTCTATCCATAGAGCGCCGACAGTTTACAAACCAATTCCAATAAACGTAGTTTGTGATAGGTTTCAAATTTTTAATTATAAACTACACCAAAGCACAGGCGTTAAATACTTTTAACCGCTCTAAACTACGTCTTTGAAAATGCGAATGGAAGCTGCGATATAATTGTTGGTATTATTTCCTCTAGTCATTTTGCCAGCTCTAAGATGCATCATTCTGTTCGTCTCGTCCATAGCTTGGTGACGTATGCCGAAAGTTTTGCATTTTGGAACACTAAGAGGCTTGATGTAAGTTTTAAAAAACAATCTTCTAAGTCCGCCTCTCTTCTTGCGTACAATACGTCTTGTATTAATTTCATGACTATTGGTCTGTCATCTTTCTTAACCCCATGATCTGACTGCCAAAGCCATCTCCAAACAGCTTGAGTAATGTGAAATGTGCATAGTAACAGCGTCGATTTTGGAAACAAGCATCGCAACGCATTTCTCTCTGCGTCGCTATTATCCGTCATGATAATAACTGGCTCGAATTTTTTCTCATTGTTTGTTTCCAAAGCTTCTTTGACAGCCATAAAAGCTAAAGAATAATTTTCTTCACTTTCCGATGTATGTAAAACGCAAGCAATTGGTGCAGCTCCATTAAGCTCTGCAAAAATAAATGTTACCTAGAACGAAGATATAGGCTAATAAGATATCGGTATGGGCTTTTTATTTGATGCGACAAACAAACAAGCAGCCAGATACGCCATTTGTCTACTGAACCCTAAAACTATACTCATTTTGGATATTTAGTAGGTATATTATATGAAGCACTACTGTACTACATAAAATACTTTGATGCCGAAATTTCGAAGTTTCTTAGAGAACACAATATAACCAAATACCATGCGAAAAAAGTCATGGGTCACTAATTATGGCTTAGACAAAAAACTAAGGATTCTTTAAAAAAATAATAAAAGATACCTACAATGTGATCAAAAATAAATCCTACAGCATAAATTGTATTTACCTGAGTGTTCATCTGATCACAAGATCCACTGGAGTATATGAAAACCATTACATATGCACCTCCGTTCGAGAACAAGCGTTTCCTTATAGGTGTAATGACAACTACAATAAAAGGTTCTTCTTTTAAATGTAGTAGTATTCCTTCTTCTGAAAGTTGGCCAATACGCGACTTTAAAATGCTCACGATATCATTCTCCGTTCGTCCACCATAAGTTTTCTTTCGCCAGTTTTCATAAATATGTTGAATTTGCCTCAGAGTGGTTTTGCCTCAGTAGAACAAAAATCCATCTCATGATACCTCTTTGCAACTGCCGCTGTCATTCCTTGGTGGAAGTATGTTTCAAATGTTTCCTAAGTTTCTATATCACAGCGCAAACTCTCGTACGCAGACATAACGTGAATGCGATGGCTGTGATTGAAGTTAAAATTAATGACAACATTTTGGCCTTTTTTCAAAAAAACATCATTTTTAATTGTATTTTTATTAATTTTCTTAACTTTGAAATCTACTGTAGCACGACACATTAAGTTTCTTTAACTCTGTTCATCCTTATTTCTTGGTGAATGTTGACAACCATACAGTTTACGAAATTCCAAACGTTGCACGTTGGGACGTAATCGTTGAAGAAACATTTTAAAATTTTCGCAAAAACGTCTTACACTCTTCTAGTCGCGTACCGAGTACTGGCAATTTACATTGAATTTTTGAGGTAAAAGACTCTCCTTGTGTCTGTTTAAATTTAATATTGTGTACTCAACACAGGACTTAAGCAAAAAAGTCATAAATTTGTCTTTATAAATCATTTTTCACTTCCTTATGCAATAGTTTTAACCGATAATTCACGCACGCACTGACTTGCTTGTCGCTCGCTACGTTGCCGTTCCGAACCCGATCATAATACAGATACTAGCTAGTAGACTGCAGACATGTGTCAATTATTCATTTCTAGCGACCGAATCATTCTAGTACATTTCGTCACGCGTACTAGTGGTACATTCGGATCGATCATTCACATGGATCATTTCAGACTCCAGTACTCTGTGAGTCTGTGAGATCTATTGGGAAGCGAAAATATTCTATTTGAGATTTGTAATAGCGCCATCTATTACATGCTATAGGTAATAAAGTCATTTTATCGAACTAAAACTTATTGATTTTCAAGGTGGTAAGTACAATCGACGCTAGTTGGCATAAATACAAAAACCTCAAGTTATCATATACTTAATAAATTTGTTTATTCTTAAATTTCATTCCTAACAATACACAATTTCATCTTACTTAACATATCTAAAAATAGAGATTGTAACATTTATTTGTTACAAAATTAGACTTTTATCTATCTTATACTTAAAGGAGGTTGAATTTCATATTAAATAAATCATTTATCATGAAATCTTTTGAAGTGTTATTTTTAGTAAACTCAATATAATGTAAAATAATTTTTAATTTAGGTAACAATATTATAATAAAAGACCCTTAAATAATAAATACTCCTGATACTCTGCAGTCTGTTTTGTTAATTCGATTCGCCTGTTTATTCAGATCATTCGGGATCCGGTCGGTTTGCGGTTCATTCACAATTCAAACAAATCGCGGGTTAAAAAGGTACCGTCAATTGTTTGTGATTTGTTGTACAGGTACATTCAAAAACAAATAAATGAACCATAAATACTTTTAAGTGTACCAGCTCAAACGAACGAATCATGCATGATTGACTCATGTCTAGTAGGCTAAGCTGTTCTGTAATGCAGTCGTTTTTGTTAAAACAATGCCTTTCGAAACCAATCACAGCGCAGACAAATTCTAAATGTCTGTGGTATAGTCGTATTTATATATACGGACCAGGCTGCGCTACAGAACAGCTACTGTCAGTATTGCATCCGCCTATTTACGCAATCCGGTCGGGTTTGAGTTTTCAACCGACTTCAAAAATCGGGGAGGTTCTCAATTCGACTGTATTTTTTTCTAGGTGGACCGATTTAGTGATTCTATTATATTTTTATGATATTTATTTGAAAGCTGGTGATCATCATGTGATCCCATTAAATTTGATCTAAATCTGACAAGTAGTTTTTAAGTTATTCATAATAATGTGTATTTCTTTGACACTTTATTAAGAACATTGTATTTTTCACAGACATACTGTCTATTATAAACATATACTTTAAGGTTTTTATTTTATACTCATATTTACCTTGCCAGTAATTGAATAAATCTTTGACTGAAGTGTGTGCAAACGGTTTCTCAAGTATTCATAAGAGCACTGTCGTAGTTTCATTACCCACTGTACAACATTGTCTTCAGAACGTGCTGCGAAAATATGTCGCTTTTCAGGTTCATCTCTGAAAACATAAACATTATCAGGGAGACCTCATATTGAGGCCTCGTTAAGAAGACAGTTCTCCTGCGTATGCAGAAAAAAGATAAGAATGTTGACAGATGTTGATACAGCAAAATTAATTTATTTCAAATATTTCCACAATATTATATGCTATGGATTATTATTGTGAGCATCTGCAACTAATATTGAAAATATATTTATACTACAGAAAACAGCTATATGTGCTATTTACAATATTAAACTAAGGTACTCAGATTTAAATCATTAGATGCGCCTTCACCTTGAAAAACTGTTGCATTATTTTTGAATGTGTGCGTCTTGCAAGGCGGTGACGCGCGCACACTATTGCGTGCGCTGCCACGGCATTTCCATCTGTTTATGTCTATTTATAGATGATCCCTTTGTAAACCGCTTCCTTCGTACATCCGAGTATCTAACTAAATTGGTTATTAGAAGAGTACTAATACAAGTGTATCAGTACTCTTATTATCTTACGGAAATTGTGTATACTACTGTCTATGTCGCACAGTTTCCGTTTGCCTGTAATTATTTCGTGGTATTTTCTGACGTCGGAATAAAATAAATTCAATATTTAATAAAATATGTGTATACTTACGAGTGAAATGTTACACCTTGGGCTTTATTTGTTTTTCTAGAATTATTATTGCACTTTCGAAAGGCACACGATGCCTTCTGAGTTTTTTTTTTTTGTGAAATCAGTGCATTAGTTGCAATGTGCAACGTCTGGCTGTCACCGCGCACAAATGAATACTGATTGCGAATGAGTGAGCTCACTCATTTGAGAATGGACACATTTCGGAGTGGTCATACTATGGTAAGGGCGCATCTAACGATTTAAATATTTACAGTCAAAGACCTTTTTCAAAGAACAAAATCAGTGATGCCCATAATTTTAACATGCGCAGTAATCTAAACTTACTGAAACAATATTACTTAAAAACAATATTTTGTTAATATTCTATAGGGTTTAATCCGCAATCAGCACTGCCACTCGTATTATTATAATAATTCATTTATTCATTCATTACAGCCAATAGATTCCATAGCTGAACATTATCCCCCCCCCCTCCCCATTTACTGATCAATGATAATTGCCTAGTTTGCTGATACCATACCTACTTTGTAAACATCAGGTATTTTATTATGCTCCCATCAACATAATTTATAGTTAATCTCTTCGGTACTACGTATATACTATTTACATCTTATTTAAAAGTTATCTATAAATTGTATTAAATTTAATTTGCCTTTGTGAGCAAACTTCAAAAAACATTATTTGATTTTAATTACATGATTTTAAGAAAATTTTAAGACAGCATTAAGGAACGCGAAAGTTCCTCACTGACTTTGCTAGAATTTTTCAAACTAATTTATTTACTTGAAAGGAATCAAAAAGGGTATTGTAACAATATATATTATGTTATAGTTACCACTAGAGTACGTGCCAAATCGATCGAGAAAAACAGACAATAACCTTTCGGTCGTTTAACCAGGGTTATAAAATGTGGGCACATTTTATTTATAATGATTTTTTATTATTTTTTTATAGATTGATATAATATATATATATATATATATATATATATATATATATATATATATATATATATATATATGTATATGTACAGGTTGGTCCAAACAGTGAGGTTATAATTTTTTTTTTGATTCCTCACACCTAGGGGTATCCGAAAATACCCCATGTATGTTACGCGATTTTTTGTAGTTTTCGAGTTATGAATTTTTTTTACCCTTTTTTTTGAAAATATTCACCCTAAACAGCTTAACATTAAAAAAAATGTAATTGTGAAATTTTTTCCAAGTTTTTTTGTTTGTAGCATGATCCTTATGAGTTTCCCTATTATGCATAAAATAATTAGCTTCCTAACGTTCACCGAAGATACAATAATTTTAATCGAACCTTAAAAATTTTCTGTCAGGAGAGTGGGGCTTGAATTTTCAACATTAAATGAAAAATAGTAATAAATGATTTCATACTTTCTAATTAATTTTAAAAACTTGGCAGTACCTTAATCTTTCATAATAACATTAAAAAAATGACAATAGGCCAGTTTTTCTGTTACAGACTTCTGAAGTTACTCAGGCAGGAAACTACCTGAATAGTTAATTTGATTTAAAAAATCTTTTTATCATTTCTAGAGCTAAACTAAGATAGTAAATGCTTCAGGTTAGCAAAAATAACATCAAGTGTCTTTACTTATTGTTTAAAATGTATAGACAACAAGGTTTAGTTTCACTTTAGTAGTATCATTTTACTACGTTCTGGACAAATGATTTCAAGATTCATAATAAAAGTAGTAAATAATTTAAGATAAATTTATTTAAAGTAAATTTTCGAAATGGCGGCCATTAACTTCGATACACAGTCTACATCGTCTTAAAAAATTTGCTTTTAGTCTTCGAAAAGCATTCGTATTTTCTTTGATTTTTTCTGCGCACTGTCTCAATTTTTCCCTTAATTCATTTTCCGAATTAATTTTTCTAGCATACACCATCTCTTTGTAGAATCCCCAAATAAAAAAATCTATAGGGTTTAAATCTGGTGAGCGTGCAGGCCATTCGATTGGCCCTGCACGCCCAATCCACCTTCCTGGGAAAGTTCTGTTGAGGTGCTCCCTCACTTGTCTTTCAAAATGGCAAGGAGCACCGTCATTTTGAAATATCATATCCCTCCTCGTTTGTAAATTAACTTCAAACAATAAACCATTTATTTTGTAGAAAATTCAGGTACTGGGACCCGTTCAACCTAGACGACAATTCAAAGGGCCCAACCATTTCTCCATTTATGACTCCTGACCACATGTTGATACTAAATCTATTCTGAAAATTTGACTGCCTTGCTTTTTTGGGTTTTCAATGGCCCAGCTATGATGATTGTGAATGTTAAAGACGCCAGTCCTTTCAAACCGGGATTCATCCGTCCAGAGTATCTTGTTAAAAAAATCCGGGTCTTACGCAGATCTTTCCAGCATTATTTGGCAGAAAGCAACACGCCTTGGATAGTCTGCGTCGTTAAGTTGTTGAACACGCTGAATATGAAACGCGTGATATCCCTCTGGAAAAAAAGATTAGTATTTTTATTGTAGGTTGTCATTGTACACAATACTAGAGGTACGTACCAATAGAGCACGTGAACGTGAAACTAAAAGTTGGGATTCGCTAGAGTGGCGTCCTAGCGCCTATTTTTGAATTACGAGCGCTTGTTTAAGGGTCTCTACATCTCTCTCTTTTACACGCACACACAACACATTAGACATCGACAATTCACAGTAAATTAAATGAGTGTGATTTGAAATGGCAGTGCAGCAATGTGTTGGGATTTTGAATAAAGAGGTCTACAAAATAATAAAATGCACTCACCTGATTTCAGTATTCTTAAAACTGAAGTCCTTGGGATTCCAGTCCTTCTCGTAATCGCTCGTGAACTAGTAGAAGGGTCTCTTTCTACTTCTTCAATGATTACATCTCTTCTTTCTGGATCCACTCTGGGTAGTCCCTCGCGAAGTTGATTACGCTCAGGAACGCGTCCAGCCATTAGGGTTTCGTGGGTCTTATTAAAAACCCTGCAGCCCGGGTAATGCTCTAACACTTCTCCTCGCCGCTCTAGTTGCTCTTGATAAAGCCGTGCCGCTAATGCGCCGTTTCATTGGGCAACGCCGTAGAAATAGTGCATCTCTGCGTATTGACTGAGAGAATAACTCATTGCTAAAAGTGATCCAAAAACCAGCACAGTCCATAAAACAAGCACAGGTCAATCGTAAGCCAAATCAAGAATCCGGGAAACAAAGCGAAGGTAGTCAAATAAGAGATCCAAATAAACGTAAACGTGAGTAGTGGTTGCACGCGGGAAAGCATTGATTTGAACGACTGGCGGTCGGTCCCGCCAGTCGTTCACTGCTTTGCGAGGTGAAAAAGGGACGCGGTCGCTGTGGCGCGGGGCGCGGGGTGCGGCCTGGTAACAAAATAGAGCGCAAAGCAGGAATGTTTACCTGAGCCTTTGTTTAAAATTCCTTTGTGTGTTTGTGACTGAATGTGCTATCATTTAGTTTCAGTGAAATAAAAAAAAACATGTAGTTTGTAGTAAAATGATACCTTAATAAATGTCACGTTTTAACAATAAGTAGTTTTCTTTGCTAACCTGAAGCATTTACTATCTTAGTTTAGCCCTAGAAATGATAAAAAGATTTTTTAAATCAAATTAACTATTTAGGTAGTTTCCTTCCTGAGTAACTTCAGAAGTCTGTAACAGAAAAACTGGCCTATTAAGTGTCATTTTTTTAATGTTATTATGAAATATTAAGGCACTTCAAAGTTTTTAAAATTAATTAGAAAGTATGAAATCATTTATTACTATTTTTCATTTAATGTTGAAAATTCAAGCCCCACTCTCCTGACAGAATTTTTTTAAGTTTGGTTTAAAATTATTGTATCTTCGGTGAACGTTAGGAAGCTAATTATTTTATGCATAATAGGGCAACTCATAAGGATCATGCTACAAACAAAAAAACTTGGAAAAAATTTCACAATTACATTTTTTTTAATGTTAAGCTGTTTAGGGTGAATATTTTCAAAAAAAGGGTAAAAAAAATCATAACACCAAAACTACAAAAAATCGCGTAACATACATAGGGTATTTTCGGATACCCCTAGGTGTGAGGAATCAAAAAAAATTTTATAACCTCACTGTTTGGACCATCCTGTATAAATATATTTATATTTATTTATTAATTATTATTAAAAAGTTATGTAAAAGATCGCTGTAGAAGAAAAATCATCTATTGTTATAAAGTACTTTATTCATATAACAACAAAAGCGTTAATTTATAACACATAAAGATGCGAGTGATAACGACACCGAATAAGTACGTACTTATTCAAAAGATAAAACTTTATGTTTAATGTTATATAAGACCTTCATTTTTATTCGGTGCATGCGTACCGACTCCAAAAAGGTGACGCATC